GAACCAGGCAAGATATACATAAACCACTTTTGGAAATATATTTCTACTAATAAAATCATTCAGATTTGTTTTTCCCTCTAGTTATAAAGAAAATACTGATTTTCTGAAGTGTCTCAGTTTTCTGAAATGTGGGCCAATAGATACCTGCAGGTCAAACAACTCTGACAGAAATATATAATGTTTAGAGGTTTCCCCTTTGTTACACTCCTCATTACTGTGAGACATGCAAGGTGGGAGTTCCTCACTGAGTATGTTCAAAAGCACAGGTTCTAAATAAAAAATTCAAAAAGCAGGGCAGTCACAGGTTTTTCATCACTGAATGCTGATATCCCATCCAAACCTCCCTGTCTCCTTAAAGGACCCTTGATGAGATGAAGGTGTTTTGTGATACGTTTTTTTGGCAAGCTTGTAATGTATTATTTATCAGTGTAGCTTCTTCCAAGTATTAATAATATATGTTCTGCAACTTTTGCTGTGAAATCTTTTTTTTCAGTTAACTGAATTCAGAAAATAAATTTAAACTTTATTCTGTGATAATTAATATCTTCTTATTTAATAAGGTAATCTATAGCATGGCATCTTAGATATAAGCCCTTTGGGAAACTGTGGTCCTGATTATGTGATGCAAAAACTTTTACCCCGTGGCAGTTAGTTACTGTTAAAGGACCTTCAGTCAGTCCCTTTTTTCAATCTCCACTTGGACTTCCTGGCTTTGTTGAGGTCTCAACTCCCAGTAACAACACAGGCTCTCTAGGTCTTGCCAGGCCTGAACTTGCCTGGACCTGATTTTAAAGGCTTATTTTTCACATAAACCAAAATTCTGCACAAGTGGCCTTTCAGCTACAGTAGTCAAGAAAATTACAAACTTCATTTCCTGGCAGGTAGTTACTCTAAATCATTTCAATGTTTTCAAAATACAGTGATTGCATTAGAAAAAAAATTAATACTCAACTTTTTTCTATCAATTATTTTTGTTTAGCTGTAATTAGCCTTGTGTCTCTCTGAATTTCAGGCACACTATACATCATCTCACATACCACTTAACTAAATGGGACTGGCTAAGTAAATCCCCATTGATCGGGATATTTGCTTCTACTATTTTGATTAAGCAGAAGTCGTTTACAAGAATATAAATACGTTGCCTGTAACACAACCCCAAAAAAAGAATGTTTCAGGTAACTGTCTGCCTTGATCAAGCTTGTTCCAATATATTGACATTTTAGCTTGTAAGGCATGTTAAATGTTTATTATTTTCAATATCAACACAAACCTCCAATATTATTCTCTTGTTTTGTTGGGAGACACTGCTATAATTTGGCTTCTGTGCCATTTGATACAATAGAAAGAAAAGGTTTTCAACCGTATTAGCATGCAAAGCACAGGATAAGCTTGGTCTCTTGTGATTTTTTTTGCTCCTTCACAGCAAGAATTGGACAAAGACTTCATAACTACAGTGCATGCGTTAAATGAGACCTCAAGGCTATCTTCTTCAAAGAGGATGATATATTCCATGAATTCTCTGTGTCACAAAAACTGTCTGACATTATATTAGACTTGTGTATTTCTGCAACACAATAGTAGATGAAGGCATACAATAAAATAGAAAATTACTAAAGCCCATAACAGCAAAGAAAGTAAAATACACAACTGAAAATCAGATATGGGGAAAGAGCACTGCACCGAAGGAACTTGCCAATGCACTGAGTTTTTCCCTTTCCAGGCAGTCACATTATTTACTCTTGCACCTGTGGTATCCTTCCAGTGGCAGGGGTTCCAGCTGAAAGGAAGGAACAGACTGCAGTGATGGGTGGTTTGGCAAGCATTGAGGATGAGGACAGTGGGAATGCTGGTTCAAAGAGACATTCTGGGATGATTTGCTTGTTGACCAGATTTGGAGCATCTCACAAGTGTTTTGACAGGATGTCAGGAAACACAAGGAGGCGCCTGTGGCTGTATCCTTGTGACCTCTGACAAAATAAGGTAAGACTGGATAGAGGTCTTAGGGGTGAAATTTAGGCTGGCAAGAGAAAGCTGAAGTTAAGGACATTCATAGTAGCATAGTTTGAAATTGTCTCACTATGTACAATCAGGGAAAGAAAGATGGAAAGGCAAAGCTTTAAATGCCTAGCTGAGAAAAAGGTGTAAGGAGAAGAGATTCACATTATTGGGAAGCAGAGGCACTTGCTAAAGACTGGATGCCCATAAGAGAAGATGCAAAATTCATTTTGGCCACAGGAAAAACAGGTTTCAGAAATTTTAAAAGCTTTTCTATGACCATTGTGATTCTAGCTGAAATGTTCAGGAAAATTTGCAGGTGTTGGAAAGTTTGAAAAATGCAAAAGTAAACAGTTCAGATAAAGGGTGCAGTCACCAGAATTGTATATTCTTCAGTGAAGAATGCCACAAAAGGTGATGATAGTCCAGTAGGAAATGCAGTAATGGTAGATCACACAGAATCAAACTAGGATCTAGTAAAGAGAAGAAAGCAAGCCATAATATAAAGCCAAGGGTTAAAATGGGAACTGGTATGGGTAGCTTTAATGCCTAACACTAAACAAGAATATCACCATAGGCATATTCAAAATCTGTGGGAAAGAAAAAAATCAGTCAGGCAGTGCAGTACCAAAGAGCAAAATACACAGGAAAGGCAACACAGACCTTATCAGTGGAGGAATAACAACGGTTGTTAAAGGAAGCTGTAAGTCTAATAAGACTTAAAGAAGAGAACAGTATTAACACTAGCTAGTCAGGAAAAGTTCTTTAGTTCTAAATTTTACAGTAATCATAATGAGTTTAAATCCAATATCTGCGGACGACCAATAAGATCCAAAATTATGATGGTTGTACTCAGTTAAATAAAAAAAAAAGGCAAAAAATAAATAAAACTGAGGCATATTGCTACAGAAAATCTGAATGGGATAGCTGAGACAGTTAAATCACTGTGGGTGGTGTGGATGCCATCTAGGAACACCATTTGAAGACCCACAGTAAATGCACAGCACCCATTAAAAAGCAAGTCTATAAGGATAAACAGCATAGCTAATAAAAGCAAGAACACATCTTTCAAAAAATGAAGTTGTGTCTCAGGAAGGACAATAGAAAGAATCATAAAATCTGCTTTATCTATAAAACCACAATAAAGAAGACAAAAACCCAAGTTTGAATAAATCTCTGGCAAACAAGCTAATAATAATTGTCTTTTAAAGACATCTGAAGGCAAAAGCCTGAGAGGAACCATGTGAAACCAATTCAAAATTGAAATATAGAAGTGCTCAGAGATGATAACATCACAAATGTAAAACTTAATACAATTTTTTCTTTGTGTTCAGGGTAGAATAGCTGGGGAATTTTTCTATCCTGATACCCTTTTTTTATGGGGGACACATGAGAAGGTTACATTAGCTGTAAAAGCAATTGTGGAATGAGCAGACACAACAGTAACAAATCATTGGGCTTAGCTGTTACATGCCTAAGAGCCTGAAGGATGAAATAAGTGAACTATTATGATGTGTAATATTTTGCTTCAAACCACTGTGGTGCAAGAAGCCTTGGAGGTGCTAACATAACAATGATTTTTTTCCTCAAAGATTTCCAGGGAACTCTGGGGAGCTAAGGATGGATATGACTGACATGAACAGTGCAAAACAGTAGAAGCCAAATTAATGGACTCATGGAGAATATCCCATACTGAAAAAAACTCAACACAGCTTTTCTAAATAAAGGTCATATTTTGCAATGCTGTCTGAATTCTTTTAAGAGATCAAAATGCAGGTAGATAGGTAGGGATGAATTCAAAACAAATGAGGGGGAGCTGTTTGTTGTGCGATATATGATTAATCTGTGTACCTCATAACATAGGACGTCGTGAACTCTGCAATTTTACATAAGTTTCGAAGCAATGGGGAAAATTGCTGTAAGAAAACTCCATTGAGGCTTGTTAAATACAAAGACATCATCTGGGCTAAAAATTTTTAGCAACTGAGGAAATGTTCTAGAATATTGTTTGGCCTGTTCTTAGTTGTACCCCCTAGTTATCAGTGTAAGAGACAGAAGGCAGGGCCAGATGGATCTTTGTCTTGATATGGTCATTCTTATATGCTTGCACTAATGCAATATATTTTCATACAAAGGAAAAGAAGAAGAACAATTTTTATATGAGAGAAAACCATGAATTTTCAGGTATAAATGCTAAGGAACATTTATGATACATAAAGTGGGATTACAATTCATGTGCAAGAAAAGAGATAAAAAGTAAGAAGCTGCCATGATCTTACTACAATTTCACACAAGTGTTCTAATATGAATTTGCCAACTTTTAGCAGCTAATTGTTTTGGCAAAGTTATCACAGTTTATACTTGATTAGTTTCTGCATTTCAAAGGTATGGAATATACAAAACTTCAATAAATTGAAGGAGAGCAATAAGCGACAATCCTGCTGATCATACACAGACTATGAAACTCTTTAAATTAGCATATTTCTGAAAAGCCTCATTTTAACTAATTGATATGAAATGTAATAAATTGTCAGTGGATGATCACTATTTTAGGGCTGTAAGTGTCTTCAAGGACAGTTATAATCTTCTGGGCCACGATGTGTAAAAAAATCTATTCCTGATTATCATAACGACAATGCTTAGCATGAGCCAGTTCTGACTTCGGTACCTGGAAGTCTCAGGTTATAACCTTTTGTCATTTGAAGGGATCATCCAGTTTCCCTTGACAAAATAGTATTTTCCAAATAATTTTTAAAGCGTAAATTAAATGAATTCTCAGGCTTAGGTTGGTCCTGTGGAATGATGATATATTTCTTCTTAAACATTAAAAATTCATACTGTCAAATTGAGCTTTATATTATTTAAAAAAAACAACAGTATATTCTAAATTTTTTCATCATATATGTTCTTCTTTCTCAATCTCAGTTCCTTATCTAAAGGATTTTTCACATTAACACTTTCAGACAAGCTTATTTGAAAATTAGTGCATTTGGAATACAACATACTCTTAGGAAATCTGGGTGGGTTGTCATTGACATCCGTGAGAGTAATGTTTACAGTGGTAGTACCAGCTAATCCTCCCAGCTGTCCTCCCATGTCCTTGGCTTGGATTAGAACTTGATATTGTTCTTTCACTTCTCTGTCCATATTTGGCAAAGCTGTTCTTATTACACCTACGAGAAGAAATTGGAAAGAGAAAGAACAAGTAAATAAAGGGCTGTGATTTTCTACTATTACATTTTAATACTGGTTCTCTTGGAGCAGGACTAAAGGGTTGATAAGAGACAAGTTCACACAGAAACATGCAAATCACTTGGGCTTGTCAAAAGTGTGTTCATCAGCTCTTCAACCATTCAAAATGACTGCTGTGTCTTTTCAATCAGGACATGAACGGCTGAAAGAGAATGGTGCAATTTCACTAGGGATGTGAGCGACGGGAGCACAGGTTTGCCACATTGGGACCAAAGAATGCTGCGTTGTGAGGAGTAGGGCAATGTAGGAAGAGGTGGCAATGCATTTCAGAGCCTGCATCTTCAATTGTTTCCAACCAGTCACTTGCCATCACAGTTAAGCTACTGTAGGCCAAGACAACATCCCTTCTGTAGAAAAGGAGGTCTTTATTAGAAGACTCACTTTTGCTTGAGAAAGTTTTCTTGATATAGCACATAGATGCAGTGAAAACTTTAGAAGTTTCCTTAAAGAAACATAATTAAAATGTCATAGTAACACATTACCCAAATGACTCTTAATCTTCAGTGATTTTGGATAGCTGACATCTAAATAGGTATGCCATAATCTCCCTTCTGATACGTTAAGACTGTATATGATAAAAGCAAGACTGGTAGAGAGAGAGAGGTATTACAGATCATAGGATTAGCTGATAAGGTTGTAAAAAGCTATAAGGTTTTGGGCACTCAAGTCTTTCTCTTGAAACAAAATGTATAGGAGCAAATGCATTTCTTTGTCAAAATTTTGGAAGTGCATATTACATTGCAAAATGCTATATATTCAGTAGTAGTTTTCAGAAAATGGTTAGGTGCAGATTGGTGCAGATAGCATGCACAATTGAAAAATAAACCAATTGGAACCATGCTTCTCCTCTAAGTTATTATTGTTTTATAAAATACTATTTTCTAGTATTAAACCTTTTGGATTTAAAAGCAATCTTTTTCCCCTAGTGTTATAATGGATCTGGAATGATAACAATCAAAGTTTAAGGGTCATTCTTATTTTATGACAACTAACCGCTGCTGTGTTAACAAGTAAGAATAGGAACCATTAGCTTATAGTACTTGTTCAGAGTCTAGAAATAACTTTGACCTAAATCTGCTATTTCTGGAACATATTAAAAATTCCCTTTGAATTGAATTGTGTAACAATTTCCTTTCTCTCCACTTGTAACACTGATGATGATAATGACAACGTTCATAATAACTACTATTTTCTACCTCAGTATGGCATATACTGTACTGCATAGATCTGGAATATGACTACTAAATACTTAAGAACATTTAGATATTTCAACACTATCCTTTAAAGCTTTTGAAAACAATCAGTGTTGTTCAATGTTTTGTTTGTTCCAGACAGAAATCTCGAATGGTAAAACTGTAAAAATTTGTTCATATTCATGTGATATTCATTAAAAAACCTTTTTGAATTTAGGATGAACATTACTAGGTTTCCTCTCGAATCTCTTCTTCCATGTTTTTGCACTGTGTTCGACAGTATTTTACATCATCTTTGGTATGCTCATTCTAAGGAGAAAAGAGCTATGAGAATTAAAGACTTTACTCGTTATACTAGCAAAACAAAATAACTAAGTAGAAAAAAATAAAAATGGGCAGATAGAAGGTTGTGAGCAGGAGATGCAGTTTATTTGATTATTATACCTGTTTTAGGTACAACTGAGTGGCTTTCTCTTTTAGAAATGTTCCAGATTGTCTTCAGAAAATGAAGAATTGGTTATCACTCTAGTAGTAAAGTTCCCAATTGCCCACTGTTTATCCTTGTCTGGAAATATAAGGGCATTCTATATATTTTTCTGTAAAAAAACTTTGCCTCCAGTAAAAAAAATCAATAATTTTCATGTCTAGCAGTTCATAGGCAATTTTCCCTTTTCTACCCACTGTATTTGAAAAGCATAGAAAAAACCCTGAGAAATACTATATTTACCAAAATAATTTGTTAATATGGACAGGACAAAGGTGATTTAAAGTTATCTAACCAGTAAAATAGAATAATAAAATGGATGTAAAAATCCATAGGAAAGAAAGTACTACAAATTTTGGTATCCCAGCCTCAGCTTCACAAAGAATATCCAAAATTTAAATCAAAGGCTTATTATAATGTAGAGGTCTTATGTCCACATAGTGATGTTCTAAGTGTTTTTAAATCCTTCAAACTTAAGATTTTACAATAAAGATTGTTCAGCTCTAGAACTGAATGACTTTGACTTTTTTTTTTTGATTTTTTTTTTTATTTTGCAAATGCCATCAGTATCAAATATGCAAAAAAGTATGGTCTCAATGAGGCTACTGAAAACTGAAAATAGTATGTATGGGACCTGGACCAGAAGATACACTCTGCAAAGTTGAGCCACAATTCAACAGGAGATGATTCACTTATGTGGAAGAGAAAATACAAGTTCCATGAAAAAACTCCTGAATAAATATTAACATCAATACTCCTGCCCACACCAATCTGGTTTTCAAGAATATAACTGAGGTCAGAATATGGACTGGAATACTGAGTCTAAGAAAAAATTGGAGACATCTTGCCATAAATAAGAATATTAACCTCATAAATACATCAGAAAACTGGGCAGAAAGAAGTTTGTCAAAAGGACATTTTAGTAACAGAACAGAACGTAGAGAGGAAAGATAAGGGAGGTTATCTGTTTTAAGAGAAATGCTGTATGTTAAAGAGAACCCACATTAAAATCAGAAGAGCAATTTCATAGCATCAAAAAGTAACCCCCACGTATAAGATTTGAGGCCTTAAAATGTGCCATTCCCAAGAGGGATTGTAACGCATTTAACCTTCCTGCAAGAGCAATATAAGCTAATTCTCCCACTTCCACATAGTTTGCTTACCTCCACCAAAGCACTGTAAAAAATTAGGTCAATGAAGAAGAGGAGTAAAGGGGCAACTATGACATTCAGACCCATAAGAGTTAAAAACTATTTAGGTGTACTAGATTCATATCAGAATAAACGTTTATCACCTATCAGGAATGATTTGAGAAAGAAGTATGCGTAAAGTCATGTGCATGCCAAACACAATCCTTATTTCACATATAAAGTTGTGGTCATTGGTTTCACCATAACTGCTTTGCGATGAGATCATCAGGTAGTAATAGAAATTTCCACAAACATACCAGCTCTTGTGTGGTAGAAGCTAAAATGTAAACGGAATGTTTGGAACTGTTTGGAAATGAATAAAGAATGAAAGTGTTATGATTAAGCCATTTTGTACATCTATATTAGCTGCCTTCTTGAATGTTGTGTGCACTTTCTCATCCTGAGAAGGAGGAGAAGGATGATCAGTGTTATGGAATGGTTTCTGTTTAAAGAAGTTTTCAATCTAGAAAAGAGGCAACAAGGGGACAATATGGGTCTATATGGTCATAGGGAACTAATAAATAGGATTTAACTGTTCACTATCTCGTGCAATAGAAGTGTGAGGTATGAAATAAGTTAAGGAGTGTTGTGTTTCAAAGAAACAAGAGGAGCTGTTTTTTCACCCAAAACCCAGTTTTGCTGTGGAATTTCTAGTCACTGGGTGTGCAGATACTGTGCTCCTGGAGAAGTCAACTCTACTGGGAAGTGGACAAGTTATGGAGGAGAAATCCTTTCAGAGTTTTAGTTACATGGACACTGCTGATCATCCAGGAACTTCATGAGAACAAGTTGTCGAAGAGTAGAAGGGTATTCAGGGGGTGCATCGTTAAACACTTCTTTTATCCTTCACTAGAGCTGAGCAGTTGATCACTTTTGGAAACATGATACAGGGCAGAACGGACCTTTGGTCTGACCTAGTACAGATGTTCTTAAGTTCTTTAAATAACTACGAGGGAATGTCTCAAAATTGTCACTAGAATGCAAGAGACAGAAAAAAAAGCCAAGAATAGCAACCCAAAAAATGATTATCCATCTGCCAGCAGTTCTGAGTTTGTCTGTCATTTTGTACCCAAATGGCTTTCTTCCCCTTTCCTGTCAAAAACACTCAAGACAGGTGTCTGGCGGTAAAACTCTGCAGTGAAAAACTACTGTATCATCTCCTCAGTAATAAAATATAGAATTGGAAATGACAGAAGATCTATAGTGCTGCCCAAGACTTCTGGAATTTAGAGCAAATTATTGAGCAGCATCCTGAGCTTTATTATTCACATACTGCTTATCTCTACAGTCATTTTTAGACCCACAGGTAACTCTCGTGCTGTGACCTTTCTCATGTAAGACAGGTTATGGCACATTATTGTTGCTCATAGAAGCATGAATCTACATGCATTTTTCTGGTACAGGATTTTAAGCTATACTGGGCTAACTGTTTAATGAAACTTCCTTTGCAGCTGTGTGCTTTCTTTTACTACCAAGGTCTACCTGAGTAACTCATTAAAGATATTAATAGACCGAAGTGGAAACACTGGGTTTGTATGATGTTCCAGGGCTAGCAGGGTGCAGGCCATCATCTATGGTCCACTCACTACTCACTACTGAGTAATAGATAAGAGTAGATGATACAGCAATTCAAAGTGCCATGGGAAAAAAGTTCTTCTTCAAGTACTAATAACTATTAATTTTTCTTCTTGTGTAACTTGTACTAGAACTCCAGTTGTGGCTGCAGTAAAGGGTTTTGTTGCCATTGAATTCCTCCTTATTCTTTACAAGACAAATAAAAAAATGAGTATAAAGATAAATAACTTTTTCCCCAGACACTTGAAGAAGTACCATTTCAGTTTGAAAAGTAAAATTGCTCACTGCAAATTGCAATATGATCTCCTGCTAAATGGAGCATGTGACAAAGGTATGTGTCCATTGGAGACAGTGCACTAACAGCCTTATGAGGCTCTCACCACCAAACTATTGATTGATTGGGGTTAAAGGGTCTTTAACACACAATCTGACATACAAGTACAGCTTCACTGGAAGGAGAAACTATCTGCTGAAAGGGTCATATGGACAACTATCCCTGTAACCCATTCAGGATGACACAATGCATGGCATTCACCATGTAGGTTATTGGCTCCTTAACTGAATTACTAAATATAGAAACAAGAATGACATTTAGAAATATAGGACAAGATATCTAATTAACATGTCTACCAACCTCCCAAATACTTCAGTCTCTTTAAATGTATTATCCTTTTCTGCTCACACATCCAGTAACCCCAGGCAAACGTACTATGCCCCAGGATAAGAAGAGGGCAGTAGATGATTAGCTGTTTTCAGATTAGCTCTCTATATTAAAACAATCATTGCTAGAAAATTTCTGACTGTAAGTTCAGCAAGTAAAAATTCTGAGAAAAAAGAAGGTAGACCCAAGAAACAAAACTGAATCATCAGGAAGAAACAAAAATCTGCTACGTCTGTAGCAGATAAAGCTTTAGATATAGAGAAATGGTAAAGCATAAAAAAGATAATTGTTCATTGTATACATATTTTAGATATTCCAGGACTGGCTGGAGGAGCATGTTTCTTTTGTTTCTACAACAGATTTTAATTCATTCAAAAACTAGTCAATACTCAAAACTGAATCATGTGCAAAGTTACTCTACTGGTTTTTGGCCATATCAGCCCAGTCCATATTTATTCTTTATACTGTCCACATGAATCAAAATCCAAAGTTTAAATCTTCACTGTTTCTTATAAACTATTTACCTGTCTTAGGATCAATGGAGAAATATGGTTGCCCCTGAAGAATGCTGTAAACCACTCTAGCACTGTTTCCATAAGTGGGATCATCAGCATCTGTCGCCTTTACTTGAAGAACATATGCTCCTGCGAAGAAACACATGTAATCACATTTTCAGTATAGAGCAGTGATCAGGGATATTTCAGACACATTAGTCCTCTTGCTAGTGAATTCTGTTGTAATTCTTGTTCCACTGGAAACAAGATGAGAATAAAACAGTCAATTCTTCATCTCCATGCTAGCAACCATCTAGGTAACAGCTAAGGAATAATGGGAAGGAAAGGAGAAACAGCCCACCATCATCAGATATTTATAAACAGTTTATGATGCATGCATTATTTACAAAAACTTTTTAGCCGACACATACAGGATGAAGGTCTGGGGAAGCACAATACTGGATGTTGTAAAAGGAGTACACCCCACAGTCTTTTGAAAAGGGAGACAACTATGGAAGTAAAATACATGAGTTGCCTTTAAAACAAGTGTTTGGTCAAGCAACTCCTGAATTTGCCATTGAACCAATCTCTAAGTACCTTAAAAAAACTATACTGCAGTCTCCTAAAGGTGGAATTCACATTCCCATTGTATAATGAAATTACGTGTTTTGTTTAGCCAGTTGTCTTCAAAATCCAGACTTGAGTCTTCTTGCCTTTCCAATGCAGCTCAGTAGGAAACAGAAGTACTGTAGAGGAAGAACATCCCCTTAACACTCTATATTTCAGCCATGGTTATAGACCAGACCTAGTGCCGTTTGGTCTATATTCTGACCTAAAGGGGACCCATGGAGCAAAAGAAATGCACATGACGGCAGAAAACTCACCGTAAATGGCAACAGCCTTGCAGAAAGATCTTGTCCCTCCTGCTGGTTGCTAAGCAATTTACCTGTATTTCCTCACAGCCCCATAATGAAAATAGTGTTCAAACTATGGTGTTCAAACTATAGTCTTCAGCAAAACAAATGGCCACGTATTTAGGCTTTCCCATCAACTTTGAAGAATTAATAGTTTCCTATGATCTTCCATGCAAATGAACGTTGGAATTTGCAATGCTGATTTGGACTGAGTGAGGGTTAAGACACCCTACATGAGAAACAGCACAGAGAGGAGAGCTATCCCCACTATTTTTGTTTTAAGAAATGTTGTGCATTTGGAAGTCATCTGACATTTTTTCAAGAATATCCATGGAATTCTGCAGGCGCTTCAAGACTGCTACTTTTCTGTAATGAAAACTGGCAAGTTTCAAGGGATGTTCACAGTCTAAAATTAATCTTAATGGAGTTGTTGAAGTTTATTTCTGGGAGTACCTCACTGAGAGATGCTCCATGTAAAAGATCCTACAACTTAAACAGGAAAGTAACTGATAGCAAAGGTAGCTGTTCAGAGGATTTTTTTTTCAGTCTCACCCCCTCCTCCCCTTCTCTTCATACGAGGATTGACAGCGGTGCTGAAGGGTTTGGAATTAACATTGTAAAAATACTTTCTGCATGATGGCTGATCATACAAGACTGCTGCTGTTACAGTTGTTACTGAACAACAGAGAATGAAAAGGTATTCAAAGAGATATTCCTTCTATTTCCTGAAGAAGACACAGAAATATAAGTGTTATTTGACTAACAATCCCTTTTTAAAGTCAATAGGCTGATCAAGTTTTTAAGCTGAGGGCAAATCTCATTAAAATCAATTTCTAAAAGAAAGAAAATATTAGCAATGAATAGATGAATGAAAATAAAGAACTGAGATGGATTCAGTTAACTAAAAGCCTGAGATTACTCTCTTGACTTTCTGGATGTGAAAGGTGAAGAATAATACGTGTTGGAGAAGACCAAAGTCCAAGTTCAGTATAAAAATTATGGAAGGAGTACCTACTCAAACACTTGTGCCTGTCTTTACACATCTCATAACCATAACCAACGACACATTAATTAGCTTACACAAGCTCAACTGGAGGAATACACTTTTCTACTGGAATGACAGACAGAAGCTATCTAGTGCCTGTAGAACATTTGATGGCTTTCATCTGTTCCTGTCCATAAGGAATACCTTTGTAATAAGATGTACCACTTTCAGCCCCATCTTCTGCTGCAGAACTTCAGGGAGCCACAGCAATAACTTAGTTCTACTCCAGTGACCAAGATGGAGAAGGTAGCTTTCAAATTTTTTTCATGTTCACTCACTGTACAGTACAACATCCCTTCCCAGTATACACACAATTGTCTTCCTTCATTGCTACAGTATCTCATTACCTTTCCAACCTAAAAAATTCAGTCTACTTTTTCCACTGAAAAGAAATGTTACTTTTTAACACAGTTGCTGCCTTCTTTCCTCCTTAGCAAATTCTTCAGTCTTCCACTGACCTTAGGCTGGTGAGTTTTGCTCTCTCTGAAGTGCTGGAGCAAAGCATCAGATTCCCAGATGCTGAGGTCTGAACTGGAACTGGGTGACTCTGGCTGACAAGTGTGCCACTTCAGGACTCATTTAGGACAATAGCCTGCACTTTTGCCAAATAGAGGCGATGCTATCACACATTCCCAAGTCTCCCCTTGGACCAGGACTTGTGTTTCTGATGCCACACTGGTTGCTATTTGTCTTCTGAGTACGAATTGACAAAATTTTATCATCATGTGACCAAGACCTTTGCTTTGCACCTTGAAGGGAGCAACATTCTCCATAAGAGAATAGGACAGGCAGACCAAGATTTACAAAGCCAAGGACAGAAAGTTAAGCTTCCTCATAAGTGCCCTTATTTTCTGAAGTGCTGAGCACTACAAAGACCTATCAAAAGTCCGAATTTAAAAATCTAATGTTTCTGGAAGGCTAACCACAACACCTGCCTTCTCACAGATTATCAGCAGAGAACTTGCAAGCACCATAATGAAGATGTCTTGGACACTTGAGACTATCTGATAGAAACAGCAGATCTGTCACACAGAGCACTTGCCGTCACCTCAAGAGGGCTAATCACATATTTTGGTACTGACTCTTCATGTTGAACTAACTTTGGACAACGAATGTAGACAGTTAAAAGGCTCCTAAAGTCAGGCAGTGAGGGAAATCTCATGTTATCTAATCAACATTTTTGAAGAACTTTTGGATTTTAGAATGTATCCTCTTTATTAATTTTCTTTCACTTCATCTCACTTGCAAATTGAATACAACACATAACATAAGCCTATATGCTACCTCTTTTAAAAAAGAAAATTTTTTAAGCCTAATATTGTACTGGTCTTCAGATCTGAAATCAATATTAACTGAACATTGAAGCTGAAATGAGACAAAATAAATCATAAATGTGATTCAATTTTAAATAACTTATTTAAGAAGAAAGCATTATGCCTCTTAAGTATTCAAGCTGTTAGTTAAATAGCAATACTTGGTTTCTATCCATTTCAGTTACAGTTTTACAAGTGTATTTATCACTATCAGAGCTTTTCTTTTAATCTTTAGAAGTTTACTTTTGGAAAAAATAATCATAGTGTACTTTGAAAAGGACTGTAAGATATGCTAGTCTGCTATGTTATGTCATATTCAGAAGGTAGATTTAACTCTGGTAAAGTTTGTACAAAAAATATTGCAGCCATATGCGATGAATAAGATACATCAGAATGACACTACTTGCTAACATAAGTAGAATTCATAAACGTATTTCTCCAGGTGAAATAAAACAGAAAAAACCACCCCAAATCCAACAGTTGTAATTGATTTTGATACTGTCCCACAAAACATCCTTGTCTCTAAAATGCAGAGACATGGATTTGATGGGTAGACCACTCAGTGGATAAGGAATTCAAAGAGTTGAGGTCAATGGTTCAATGTCTGGTTGGAGACCAATGACAAGTGGTGTCTTTCAGAGGTCCATATTGAGCGGAGTACTATTTAACATCTTTGTTGGTAACATGGACAGTGGGCTTGAGTGCAGCCTCAGCAAGTTTGTGGATGACACCGAGCTGAGTGGTGCAGTTGATACTCTAAAGGGAAGAGATGCCATCCAGAAGGACTTTGACAGACTACAGAGGTGAGCTTGTGCGAATTTCATAAAGTTCAACAAGGCCAAGTGTAAGGTCCTGCACCTGGGTCAAGGCAATCCCAAAAGTTGATACAGTCTGTGTGATGGGTGTACTGAGAGCAGCCCTGCAGAAAAGGACTTGGGTGTATTGGTGGATGAAAAACTGAACAAGAGCTGGCAATATGCATTTGCAGCCCAGAAAGCCAACCATATCCTGGGCTGCAGCAAAAGAAGTGTGATCAGCAGGTCAAGGGGGGTGATTTTCCCCATGTACTCTACTTTTGTGAGACCTCACCTGGAGTACTGTGTCCAGCTCTGGGGCCCCCAGTGTAAGAAAGACATGGATGGACCTGCTTGAGCGCGTCCAGAGCAGGGCCACAAAGATAATCAGGGGGCTGGAGCACCTCCCCTATGGGGACAGGCTGAGAGAGTTGGGGTCATTTAGCCTGGAGAAGAGAACATTCCGGAGAGACCTTAGAGCAGCCTTCCAGTACCTAAAAGGGGCCTACAGGAAAAATGGGGTGGGACTTTGTCAGTAAGTGTAGTGATAGGACGAGGGGTAATGGTTTTAAATTGAAAGAGGGAAAATTTAGATTAGATATTAGCAAGAATTTCTTTACTGTGAGGGTGGCGAGGCACTGGAACAGGTTACACAGAGAAGTTGTGGATGTCCCATCCCTGGAAGTGTTCAAGGTCCAGCTGGATGAGGCTTTGAGCAACCTGATCTAGCGGAAGATATCCCTAACCACAGCAGGAGTTTGGAAACAGATGATCTTTAATGTCCCTTCCAACCCAAATCATTGTATGATTCTATGATTTACAACTGAATGCATGGATTAGTAACACTTCAAAATAAGAAGAACTTTACATAGTATACTAAATTAACACAATTCAAGAACTACTGGTTCAGAATATTCATCAGCTTCTCTTAAGTTCAAACAGGTTTAGGTAAGAAATGCTAAATTAAGATATTCATTAAGATTATTAATGAATAATTAATTAAGATTAATTTTTCTTGATATGAAGTAAATATTTACATATATTTAAGATCTTGTCATGTGAGGTACTGAATGGGATTTTTAATAAGCAAAGTTGGTAAT